TTACTCTGGGCCCCAGCCAAGGGATCCTTGAGCGGCAGCCGCTTGCTGCCTTCCTCCAATCCCCGTCACTGCCTGCCTTCCCTGGGCCACTTCCCCATGGCCCTAGCCCCCACTCAGCCCTTGTTTGAAGGCCTGCAGTCTGGCAGGGTCAGCCCAGAGCCTTGCTGGTCTGGGGGAGACTGTTCTCTCCTCTGTGCTGCAGCCTTTATATAGGGCTCAGCCTGGCCCTGATTGGCTGCCCACAGGCCCTTTCTGATTGGCTGCCTATCTGCGCAGCCTCTCTGGCCTACTTTAACCCATTTTCTGCAGAGGGCCTGTAGTTGTGCAGGTGGCTCACTCCAGCAGGGGGTGGGGCAGAAGCAGCTAATTAGGATGAGGCTTGTTAGGAGGCAGCTAAGGAGCTGCCAAGCAGAGCGGAGGGGAGTCTCTCCCTGACAAGCAAGGAAGGAGGACTGGCTCCCAGGGATGGCACCTGAGAGAGAGCAGGGCTGGGCAGGCTCAGGGGAGCAGGGGGGGAGCTCTGGCCTGTTACCCTGCCAGAAAGGGCCAAGAGGGCCCAGGGGAAGTGGCCCAGGACGATAGGCAGACAAGGGGAGAGAAGGAGGGCAGAGAGGCTGCCGCTAGAGGGTCTCTGGGTCGGTACCCAGAGTAGCAGGTGGGCCTGGGTCCCCCCCTTGCACCGCACCTGGCCATGGAGGTGCATGGCCGATACAGACTGCAACTTGCAGTGGGGGGCTAGACTTTGGGTTGTGGTTGGCCCCTGCGGCTGGTGCAAGCCCCAGGACTGCCGGCAGGGGGGTGAGACAGAAGTAATGGGCACTGCCAGAGTAATGCAGCCTCCTGCAGAGGACACCGCCGAGTGGGGGAGCAACGCAGGTCCGAAACAGCGGAGGAGAGCGGACAACGGGCAAGACACCCCCTGCAGAGGCGCTCCGGAGCTGGACTGAGCTAATTCCCGGAGTAACCAGCAGGAGGCACCAGCAGTGGTGAGTCCGTGTCCTTACACCTCCCCAAACCAAGCTCCATGCGGGTTTGCAGAGCCCTTGTTTATCACTCAGACAAAGCCATTCAGGAAATCGCCCCATTTCTTTGCGGCACTGGGGGAGGCTGTGAAAAGCTCCGGCGCCTCCTCCCAGAGGTAGCCAAGTGGCCCTAGGCGCCGGCTGTGGGGATCAGGTGCTAGGACTCCCCTGGACCTGTCAGCTGGTCACCGTAATGGGATCCAGGTGGACGGACTTGAGAACAGTGACTGTCCTGTCCGTGCGGGTCCCACCCACCATCCCCTTCTTTCCAGTCCCTCTCTGCGGGGATCGTGGATTAGGAGGGGGCTGGGGGAGGTGTAGGCCGCTCTGGCTGTATGCCCCCGGTGGTGGCAGGGGAGGGTATGCAGGGCACTTGCATGGCCCTAGTGGACCTTGTGCATGAGGCGTGCGCCCCCCATGAGTGGGGTCCACACGGACAAAGGCTTACGAACCCACAGTGACTGGGAGGTAGGGACCCGTTCGGCAGCCAGGCTGGGGTGTCTCTGGCTGGGCTAGCAGAGCTTGCTGGTCGTGGTGGCGGGTGCTTTGCAGCAGTGCCAAGGGCCCGTTCGGCTTGGTAGTGCCGCACTGCTGGTGCCGAGGGGCCCCGTTCGGCTGAGTAGTGCCACGCTAGTGCCAATGGGCCCCGTTTGGCTGAGTAGTGCCGCGCTGGTGCTGAGGGGCCCCGTTGGGCTTGGTAGTGCCGCGCTGCTGGTGCCGAGGGGCCCTGTTGGGCTTGGCAGTGCCACGCTGGTGCCGCTGAGGGGTCCCATTCGGCTGAGTAGTGCCGCGCTGGTGCTGAGGGGTCCCGTTCGGCTTGACAGTGCCGCGCTGCTGGTGGGAGGGCGGCCGGCCAGGCCGTGCTCTCGGCGGTGTTGGGATCTCGGCAGCTGCTGTGCCCAGCGGTGTGGGGAAGGGATGGCTCCCTGCTGGCCGGGGGGTGGGCAGGGGGTCCCATCTCACTGGAACACATTGTAACCTTCTCTCTCTTTCCTGCCCATGCCTCCGCCCGTAGCTTTACGTTTCTGCCATGTAAGTAACCAGCTCCTTTCCTTTCCGTAGTTAGTTGTAGAGCAATGACGGGGTGGGGGGCTGGGTCGGGGGGGGGGGGGGCACTCTGGGTTTGGTGCCCAAGCTCCCACAGTCCAATTCCCCTGGCAGAGGGGGGCTGTTCCTCACCGTGGGGCGCCGTGACCCCAGCTACAAACGCTTCCATCCAGAGAAGGTGCCGAACCGGCTGCGTGCCCCAGGGGTTGGGCCAGAGCTTTCCCCTCTGTCGCTGCCGCACCAGGAGCAGGACGAGCCGGGGGGTTGACGCCCTCTGGGTGGGCCGAGGACCCTGGGGGAGACGGGACTCCTGCCTCAACCTGTTGGGCCACAAGCTGCGCTGGCCCTGCCATGAAATCCCACCCGGCCTGCCCCAGGAATGGGGGAGAACCCTAGCCCCCTGCCCCCCGATGTCCTGGCTCCCTGCAGGGGTGCCTGTATCCCAGCCGAGGAGAGCGTGCAGACCCTGTTTAGGGATAGGGGGGGGGGGGGGGGTCAGTAGTTGGAGGGGGCTGCCTGGGCGTTGGTGGTCTGGGCAGGAGTCAATGGCCTGTGGGGATGGAGCTCGGCTCTGCCGGGGGCGTGGGGACAGGGTTTGGGGGAGGGGATGCTAATGGACTGAGAGGCTGCTAGGGGCTGTGCACCATAGGGCTCCTGGGCTGGATCCATGGGGCGTGTGGTGCCCGCTCTGTGGGGAGGGCATGTGCCAGTGGGGGAAAGGTCAGGCCCGAGGGCTCGGTGGTGGCTGGGGGTGCCGGACAGGCGGCCCTGCCCTGGGGGTCTACTGTGAGGGACTGGGGCCGTGTGGGGGTAGGCCCAGCCAGGGCCTCTGGTGTCGGAGGCAGATTCCCTGGCCAGGCCTGCCCTGGAGGGGTTGGGGTCCTGAGCCGTTCGCCCCTGTGCGCTGGCAGGGAGGCCAGGCGAGGGGCCCTGACCCGTGGGCGGGGGGGGAGGGGGGGCCCTGCAGCTGTACTTGGAGGGGACACCCTGCGTGGTGGGGGCAGCCTGTGCCCGCTGTCTGTGAGTAGAGGTTGGGCACTGCTGGCTTTCACAGTAGTTTGCAGCAGGTGCGAGCTGACGCTCCCACGGCCGTGTGTCCCTGGCCCCGGCGGGGCCATGCACCCGGCACGCTGACTGGCTTTCTCCTCGGCTCGCTGGGGCTGGGCGGCCCTGCTTCTGGGCGGGCGGGCGCCACCGCAGGAGCGTGGTCCAGCGTGCGTGTCCAGCGTCGCCAGCCCCGCAGCGAGCAGCCAGGGCAGACCCCAAGAGGGCTACGGGGCCAGCGCCCCACACTCGAGCCGATGAAGGGGAGGCCAGTTGTCCGGGAGCCGAGGAGTGTGATGCTCTGAGGCGTAGCAGGCTGAGGGGAATGATGAGCCCGGACTCCTGGGTTCTTTTCCCAGCTGGGTCCCTGGGTGAGCCCCGTAACGTGGGCAGTGGTTCTGTGAGGGGTGGGATCCTTTCATTCGCGCTGGCTGGGCTCTGAACTCCTCTGCTGGGGGACAGGACAGGCCTTGCTGGCTTTTTGCACCTGGCCTCCCTGGGCTCGGGGGGAGCTGGTAATGTCTTAGGACAGAGCTGTTCTCCCTCGAGGGGGGAGCGGGGGGGGCTGTCTCAGCGCTCTCTTCTCCCAGCTGCTGCTCAGAGGTTGGAATGAGGCCTGGTTCTGAGCTGTGAACAAATATTACTCCCGCCCCCCAGGTGTGTGGTGGGGCCGGTCTCTGACTGTGTCCCCCCGAACGTGGGGCGGGAGGGGCGAGCAGGGCCGTGAGAGACGAGGGGGAACACTCGCCTGGGGGAAGGTTACTGCAGGGCCTGGGGGAAACTGGTTGGTTTTACACCATTAGGTGGTCAAAGTCTTGCCCCCTCATGATGGTTAGCCAGCTCCCCACCCCCAGCAGCCCACCCTCCTGTAGAGCGTGACCCTCGCGGTTCTGGTGCTGCCCTGAAGCTGGGGATGGGAGTCTCCTTCACTTCCTCCTAAGCGGTTCTGCAGGGTTGCTGTGAGCTGTCAGCCAGCCGCCCTGGCCCACCCCAGAGTGGCTGCTATCCATGGTGGATGAAGTGAGTCCTAGGCCAAATTATCTGCTGCTGTAACTCCAGCGAGCCCAGCTGTGTAGAGCTTGTGTGCTAGGGTGAGCAGATAGAAAGTTTTCAGAGTGGGAGCCGTGTTAGTCGGTATCGGCAAAAACAAGGAGTCTCTGTGTGAAAAATCGGGATGGCAGGTGGGGGTAATAGGCACCTACATTTAAAAAAAAAAAAAAAAAGCCCCGAATATCAGAACTGTCCCTACAAAATCGGGACATCTGGTCACCCTATTGTGTGCGCCTGTGTCTGGAAAGCGCTTTTGGATCCTTCGTGACATGAGGCTGCTTCGCGGGAGCCTGGCTAGTGGCTGCTCTGGGCATTGCCCTGTGAGGCGGCCAGCCAGTCACCACCACGAGCCCTGCAGGTGCCAGCCCCAAGCCGGGCCAGGGCGTGAGCGCTTCCTGCGGGGGAGCCAGGGCTCCGCAGGCTTTTGCCATCCCTCTGCTTAGCCCGCCAGCATCAGCCACTCCCACCGGGGGGAGAGGGGGCAGGGGGCGCGCAGAGGAGGTCTGGTTCAGGGTCCTGGCTGTTCGTCCCAGGCTGGTGCCATGCAGGGCTGGAGATGGGGTGCACCTAGCCCCTGGGAGGCAGAGGTGCCGCAGCCGGCCCAGCTGCGGGTCAGGGCACCAGCTGGTATCGACATGGTGTGTGGAGGGGCTGGCCTGGCCCCAGAGTCCTGCCAGCAGCTGTTCCCCTCGCCCTCTCAGCCAGCTCCCAGGTCCGGCTCGGGGGTGACGACCGGCCCGGGGCTCCTGACCGCAGGCGAATTCAGAGCCCTGCCCGGGGGGCGGGCGCTGTCGGCTCCACGCTAACCCCCCCTCTCCCTCTCCCTCTCCCCGCCAGTTACGAGAAGCGGCTATACTGACGACGGGCTCCGAAGCAGCAGCCAGCGCGCAGCTCCCAACGTCCCTGCCCCGGTCGCCGCCCACTGCGTGTAGCCCAGCCATCCCCTCCCGGCGCCGGGACAGCGCTCCGACCACGCCGCGCAGGGATGGATTTGCACTACGGCCGAGAGCGTCTCGCCTTTGGCCAGGACCTGGCCCTGACTGGACTGCAGCCAGGTCTCCCCAGCGCCTGGGGCAAGGCCCCGGGAACCAGCCCCCCTGGACTGGGCAGAACAGAGAGCAGGGGCTGGAAAGAGCTCGGGGGGGGGGCCCACTGCCGGCTGGGCAGGAGCATTTCAGCACTTAGCACTGAGCAGTGCCCCCTGCTCCCGCCTGCTGCATCTTCACGGGCAGCCAGGGCCTGGCTGGAGCCTGCATCCCCCCACACTCCACCTCCCCTCCACGCATCCTGCTCCGCTAGACCCCACCGCTGCTGCCCTCCGTGGACACGGCTCCCCCAGCCCCGGGGCGTGGCACGTCCCCTCCCATCGGTGCTAGTGCTGCAGGGGGGCACAGGCCGGGGGGTCCGGCACTGCCCTGGCCCTGCAGCGGGGCAGTGACGGGAGACACAGGGATCCTGCTGACAGCCCGGCCTGGCTCCGGACCAGTAGCCCCTGGGCTTGAAGGCATTTTATAAACTTGTACAGGAGGCTGAGCCTTGTCTCGGCTATTAACCCTCTGATGCCCAGGGGCTGTCTTACCCTGCCCCCAAGGCGGTTTGTTAGTAGGGTCTCTCCAACCTGGACCAAGCCACCTCCCCTCCAGTCCTGGCCTGAAGCTGCCCGGATTTCTCCCTCTTGTCCCTCTCTGCAGAGCCCCCGGGGTGTCAGCCCACTGCACGCCTGGGCCCCTGCAGCCTGCCCAGCCACAGGGGGACGTCCCTCTGGGGCAGCAGCTGCTCCAGGGTTAGGCAGGGTGGCAGGAGTGACCCCCAAAGCTGGAATGGGGGCCTGGCCACCCCTCTGCAGCGCAGCCCGGTACTGCAGCCCGCCTCAGGCTCTGCGGGGCTGGGCAGCTTCACTGTTTCTGCCAAACGAGTTTAAATCTCCTTTTTCTGTCACTGCAGCTACTGGCGAGTCCCGGCCTCTCCCCCTGCAGCACCGACTCCCCTACTCGTTGGAAGGCTTTAACTTTGCACATTTGGGGTCCAGTGTTTGTAATTGTGTATTGAAGAATAATAATAAAGTAATGCAGCATCGGGGCCTGGCACGGGCTGGTGTGGTGGAGCACGCTGAGCTGGACTCCAGCCCGCCTCGCTATGGCAAACCACCAGCCCGGTGGAGAAGGGGGTGAGGACTGGGCCCAGGGCCTGCCTGAGCAGGGCTAGGGCACGTGGCTGGAGGACCAGTGGCAGCTGCACTGTGGAATCATGGCAGGGCAGGATCCTGTGTCCGAGCTAGCGGAGGAAGGCGAATGGCACAGCTGGAGGCTGGATGTTGTGAGGGCAGGAGCACCCTGCCTGCCAGGGGAGAGCAGGGCTCAGGCTGCAGCAGCAGCTGCATGTCACCCTGGCCGTGTGAGGGGGGGCTCCTGGGCCAACCCAGCCCCGGCTGCTAGAGCCTGGCTCGGAGCAGGGCCATGTCCAGCTGCTCCAGGAATCCCTGCAGCACCTGCTGGTACTCCTGGGGGTGCTGGCGCAGGTGGGCTGCATGGCGCGAGTCCTGCCAGCCCTGGGCCTGCACCTGGATCCCCGCCCCCCTCCAGCTCTCCAGCAGCTCCTGCACCAGGGTGGGGTCGCTCAGGGGGTCGTTGCAGCAGTAGAAGAGCAGGACGGGGCAGCGAAGCGGCGGCCGGGAGACCACGCCCTGGGCCGCTTTGTAGTACCGCACAGTGCAGCAGCGCAAGAGGCTGAAGTAGAGCCTGGTGCCTCCCCTGACGAGGGGCCGGAAGGCCGCCGAGCTGCTCATCTGAGCCACGCCTGCACAGGGCAAGAAGGGGGTTAGTGGGCCGGGGAGTCGCCGGGCCAGACACAGCCCCGCCCTCCACCCTGCTGCGGCTCCCGCCTGTTCCCTCAACCATCACAGGGCCGGGGCATGCTGGGAAGGCCAAAAACCTAACCGGGGTCCAAAAGGAACTAGATCCGTTCCTGGAGGACAGGTCCAGCAATGGCTATTGGCTAAGATGGGCAGAGACACAACCCCGTGTTCGGGGTGTCCCTAAACCTCCGACTGCCAGCAGCTGGGACTGGGTGACGGGCTGGATCACTGATCATTGCCCTGCTCTGCTCATGGCACCAGCCCGTCAGAGATGGACCATGGTCTGACCCAGGGTGGCCGTTCTTACCCCCCACCTCGCCCCGCATCCTGCTGCAGAGCCTGGTGATCTCCGGGCTGGACAGGGCTCCAGAACAGCTAGGGCTGGAGGAGACCGTGAAAGATCCGTCCTCTCCCCCCGGGCTAGTGCCTGGAGAGGGGGTTTGCCCCGCAGGACCTGCCCAGACCCCACTCACCCAGCGCCATGTCCCCCACGCTGCCCATCACCAGGCTGTCGTAGACCAGGCCCCGGATCCTCTCTGCCAGCTGCCGGTGCCGCTGCGGCTCCCGGCTCATGTGCACCATCATCTGGGCGAAGGTGTAGCCGCCGATGGAGAAGGCATGGACAAGCAGTGGGTGGGAGCAGAAGGGCTGGCTGTCCCGGAGCAGGCCCAGCACACAGGCCGCGTAGGCCAGCCCGTGCCGGGGCCATAGGAAGTGGCTCAGGTCACTCTCCACCACCAGCACGTCCAGGCCGCGCGGCAGATAGAGCTCCAGGTACCTTGCAATGGAGCGGGGCCGGGCGCCAAACCAGGGCATCAGCACCACCAGGGGCCTGGAGGGGGCGCTGCCCCCAGGCACGGGGCTGCTGTACAGGCGTATGGTCCTGGAAAAGGCTGTCACTGCTGCTGGCCCGCCAGGGGCGAGAGAGAGCTCGGCAGGCTGCAGCGCCCACAATGGGGTGGGCTCTGGGCCCCCAGGCTGCACTAGGGGGGCAGCCCTGGTGCCTCCAGCCTGCTCCATCTGCATCCAGGCTGCTGTGGCCACGCTAACTCCGGCGTCCAGGCATGGGAGCCCTGCAAGACACACAGGGGCAGGCTCAGATGGAACCATCATGGGCTATCACAAGGGCAGAGGAGCCAGGGCTCCCCCACCACCCCCAGCAGCAGCGAGTACTGTCCCCTACGGGCTGGGGGGAGATCGGGGAGGTAAACTGAGGCACAGAGAGGGGACTATCCTACCCCAGGTCTCTCAGTGAGTCAGTAGCAGAGCAGGGAATAGAACCCAGGAGTCCTTGGGTCCCGCCCGGCCCCCACTGCTCTAACTACTCCAGCCCTCTGCTCCCAGAGCCAGAACCCAGAAGTCCTGCCTCCCAGCCCTGCCCTGGCACAACAAACCCACCCCCCTTCGCCAGCTCCAGAAGTTGTCTTCCCAGGGGGTGGATTTGCAAAGGGGCCTCAGCCCCACGGCTAGAGCATTCCAACCCCTGGCAAAGGGACAAGAGACCCTCACATGTCTGCCCAACTGGGACCCCGCTGCTGTGACCAGCCCTGCGGGCTCTGCCCCTGCCCTGCAAACAGCCCCCCAACAAGTCCCTGCAACTGCCAGGCAGGGCCGGATGGTCGCACTGCTTCGGCCAGCACGGGCGGGGGATACACCTGCCCCATTTGGCTAGGACCCTGACCCAGGGTTGGAAGGGGCTCGGCACCAGCGCTGCCCAGTTCTGGGCTCCCAGAGTTGAGCGTGAAGCCTGGATTTTTGCATAGCCCCTGACCGGTAGCTGGGTGTGGGTGTAGTGGCAGGGCCCGGCTCCTGGCAGGAGGGCTGGGCTCCGAATTCATCCATTCCAAGGACCACACGCCATGGGACTGCCCAAAATTCATCCCTCGAGCCGAGCTTCAGGCGAACATCCAGCCTGGACTGAAAAA